GTCGGAGTGATGACGGCCACACGCCAGCATCGCTGTAACTGCGGGATCGTCGGCTGGAACAACGGCGTCGGGGCTCTGGGTAAACACCACTCAGCAGGAAACGCAGCTGAGGGAAACATGAAAGGCGCGAGAGACCAAATCAGCACAATGCTGCAGCTCTGCTGAGATAACAGACACAACAAGAGGACTCGACGCTTTCCCGTAATGTCCGTTTTCACCAGGAAGAGGTCACCTCTGAGAGGAAGTCGTGACAGTCAGCTGTTGACCGATATTTACTGTAACGCCTCTCCCTCCGTCTCTTCATGACCTCCCTCTTTGACCCCCTGAATCTATTTTTAGCTGCGCCGCTCTCGCTCAGGCCTGACATAAGAATAGATGCTGCTCCCAAGAAACACAGCAGGGAAGCTTCTGCAGGCATTAAACGGGAGGCTGGGGGTGGCGTCCTGTCGCTGTGACCGATTTAACGAGCTCCTCCGAGCCGCTTGTCTCCTGCTGCACTTCGCTCGGCAGTTCGCTGATGAAGTATTTCGGTTGTTTGCCCAAAAGGTGTTGACTGATGGGAAAGTAAAACAACCGCAGGTCAGGACAGAGTTCTGTCTCTGTTCCCGCCTCTGCAGATGCAGATGATGCAGAACATTGTTGTTGTTTGTGGGTCAGAACGCCCCAAAGCGTCGTTTCTACAAACAAGCAGGATTACGTTTGAAAGTGTCGGAGCTGCTCCTGCATCTGTTGGCGTCTGCAGCCAAACTGCCAACTTTCTGTCTAGATCATCTAAACCGATGGTATTTAGGCTCCTCGCAGATGCGGATGCCGTGTCTTCGCGTTCAGCGGTGGAAGATTTCAAAAACGAGCCTCAGATTAAAGCTGGTTGTAAAATTTCAGATCCGCACTTCAAACTTGAATCCACAAAAAGCCTTTTTGTTCTCGTCATTCCTCCGCACACATGTTTGCTATCCCTCCCCCATACGCCTCCACCCCGCATCCATCCATCCACTCTGCTCAATGACAACTAAAGGTCACTCTGTCCTTCCTTTCATTTATTGAAATCCTTCAGCTGCTTCCATTTGTTTTCATAAAAGAGCTGATGAAGCTTTGATGGTGCATCAACAGAGGGTGTGTGTGTGTGTGTGTGTGTGTGTGTGTGTGTGGGGGGGGGGTGCGTGAGACACTCCAGCTTCTTGCTGGTCATGATGAAAACTGACAACACACACGTTCCTCCTGCAGCAGCTGGAAGCGACTCTCTTGGACGTCTGAGGCTTTCCTTTTCTTTGTGTCTTTGTGAAAAACCGTTTTGGATCCTGGAGAAGTGACGTTCCGATCCGTTCCGATCCGTTCCGATCCGTTCCTCCTGCCTTTAAAGCTCGGCTTCAGTTTGTTCTGCACGAAGGTTTAGGAGACAAGATGTGTGAACGTCCTTTTATGGGTGGTGGAGACGACTTTAGTGTAGAAATTGACCCTCCAAGATATTTTATTTATTTATTTATTTATTTATTTATTACATTTCCTCTAACTAACCTGTTAGAACGTCCGCCTCCTTCATTGGTGAATCCTGACTTTGTTTTGCAGTTGAATGATTAATCGGCTGTTAAAAGCTGTAAATAAAACAGAGTTCCTAATTTAACACCAAAAACACAAAGTTAGTCAACCTGAATTCTTCCTTTTGAAGCGCGGATCTGATTCTCGCACACCAATAGTGACAAAGGGGAACTCAAAAAGCGTTTTTTCACTAGTCACTGGATTTTAAATGAGTTTGCAACACAGACGAGAGGAGTTGGCAAACAAATTGCAAAAAAAAGTCCCAAAACTGTTGAAATTCGTTGGCTGCGACATCGTGTCCCAGCCATGCAGAAGGGCTCAGAGCTATTCAAATAAAAACATCTGCATTTTTCTTTCAGCTTTGTGTTTCCATCAGTCAGGAGACGTTGGCTTAAAGGGACATTATGGAAGTGTGACAGCCAAAACACGTATAGAAATAATAAATGTCTTCTTCATACGTTCTCCTGCAATGCCCTGGTCCTGTAGAATGAGCCCTGGCATTTTTACTGTGATTGCCTGTTTTTCTGTAAAATCACAGAAAAAGAGAGATGCTCGGGTCGAGCAGGCTGCTTCATGCGCGTTCACGCTCAGGCATCGCCCGTAGCATTTGCTATCCGTAGCTTTAGCAGCAGAGAGAGAGGCAGTGCCACTTTGTCGCTGTTCCTAACGCCTAGTGACAAAGCTAGCTACATTTCTGAGGACCCTTAGCTACTTTCTGTAGAACTTTCTTCTAGATATTTCCTGCTAATTAGCAACAAAATAGCCGTTTTCACTCCGAACCGTTCTTTGGTTTGACGTTGTTTCAGCTGTCATCAAGGATATAAAAGTTACAGACACTGTGAATGAGTGTAGCTCACTTTGTAAGATGTCTGAATTTCATGCAGAAGACCTGGGTTTGATTCTGGGTGTGAACATAGTTTATTTAGAGTTTCTTTTTTACATTAATGGTATATTTTTTTACAGTAAGATGCCCAAATTTTTATTTGAGACTCGCCGAACGGCATTGAATTCACAGATAAAAAAGATGTGGGTTCAACTTTCATTTTGGAACAATTTTTCAAGCAAGGGAAGGGAATGATCTGAGCATGCAGGAGGACTGACCCATCATAAACCTTTGTCGGCTGTGCTGAAGAGAAAGGTACAGAACCAAATTATTTAATTAATTAGCTGCACGTTCTCCTGTCCTCCGGGCCA